ACTGACAACATTCCATTGATCTTTTTTTATGACTGCTGTCTCCACAATCCCCGTTATATCTTGATTTGCCTGAGGCAAGTTACTGGAGCATAAACTTTGAGTTTTTGCCTTAGGTTTAACAAGAAGACCCCAAAATAATGGCAGCGGCTTTACAAGAGCATGGCGGTATGTTACCTCTCATATATGTTATTAATGTACAATGTCTGATAGTGAAGCAACGCACACAGCATCTGCGCTTTTCTGCAGAGAAAGGGAGTAGGGGGTTTCATGCCAATGAAACTAAGGACACTTTAAAGTCAAAATAAGTGCCAATAACTATGCAGTAACGCTTGTTCAGTAATTATTTGTATACGTAAACGATTAAAATAAAGTGCGAGCGAAGTAATTCTCGCGTCTTCCGCTAAATTCCGCGTGAGTCAAAGGAATCCATGGCGGTTTGAAGGAACCTCATAAATCGATTTCTTAACTTATCGCGCTGGGATTTACTACAGAAGTGCTCGAAAGGGCTGCATTCATTAATTCTGTGTGCGAATACATAAAACCGTAGGAGTCAAAGTAAAGAAAATGAAAACTGATTTCCTCCATAAAAAAAGTATCGCTAAGCCTTTTTCTTAAAATCGTCGGAAAATCTTTGTAGGCTATTCTGGCGTCTAATACGGCTAAACCATCTGTGAAATGGAAAGAAAATACAATTGGCTTCTTTATTCTTTACTTCGTCGGGTTCAAATAAACGCCACACTGACATAAAATATGTTTCAAGCGTACATGAAAAATTTAGGAAAACATAGTTTCTTTTTTTTATTTTACGTGATTTATTTAAGTAAGCGAACCCTCCAGGAGGCTGAGGATCCTGAGACGTAACCGCAAGCTTCGGCGTAAGATAGCTAAGTTAAATAAGGAGAATAAAGCCCATGCCAACAAGATTTCACGACAGTAGTGGCAAGACTCCTGCGACGGCTTCGACCACGAGCTTGGCGCTCCGAAGACCTGGAACATCCTTCGGCACCTGATCGATCCAGACGGCACCAAGACGGCCCAAAAGGAGAAGATGAACGAGAACCTGCGTCGCCATGAGAAGACTGAGAAGGACCTCATGGAGGAGATCCGGAAGAGGTACATAACCCACCCCGAGCTCCCACAGAGTACGACGGGGAGAGGAACGCGGTGTTGGACGTGCCCATCACCGAAGCGGAAGTGAAGGGGGTCTTGTTCAGACTAAAGACCAGGTCGACTCCGAGTCCCTACGGGGTGAAGAACAAGGAGCTACGCAACTTGGGGGACCGAGCCGTTACCGGCATAACACAATACATGGACGCGTGCTGGGAGCGGGGCTCTATCCCCCAGCAGTGGAAGATCGGCAAAGGTGGTAATGATCCCCAAACCGGGCAAAAGGCCGCAGCTGGACTCCCTTTTACCCATTTTGTTAACTTCGTGCGCGGGCAAGCTCTTGGAGCACGTCTTCCTAGCGAGGCTGAACAGGTACATGGACCATGGTCGACTTCAAGGCGCATCTGTCCACTCAGGACGTGATGCTGCGCCTGAAGCATCAGATAGTGGATGGAACGGGGAGCTCCCCCCTCGACATCAGAGCGATCTTGGGCCTGTACCTGACCAAGGCCTTCGATAACATTATACGCGAGGCAGTCCTCGACAACCTGAGGGCGGTGACCGTTGGCAAGCGAAGGTTTGAATACATCCAGGACTTCCTGAGCGGGAGGAAGGCGAATTTGACGGTCGGCGGAGTCGAGTCCGAAGACATCTGCCTCGAGGGAAGTGGAACGCCACAGGGATTGGTACTGTCCCCGTACCTCTTCAACGTGGTGATGATCTGCCTGCCCGCGAAACTTGAGAAGATAACCGGACTGCAGCACAGCATCTACGCCGATGACATCAAGCTGTGGGTGACAGGCGGCAGCGACGGCTAAATAAAGGAAGTACTCCAGGAGGCGGTCTGGGTCGTAGAAGGGTACGTACTTCCCACGGGACTGGTGTGCTCTCCGGAGAAGTCCGAGCTTTTGCTGCTGAGACCCAAACGCGGCGGGAAGAAGAAATCGAACATCGAACTCTTCACGCAAGGGCACCGCATCCCCAAGGTCGAGAGCATCAGGGTGCTAGGCCTGCGCATACAGGCAGATGGAAAGAACAGGGAGATGATACAAGCCCTGGGAGGGACGGCCTATCAGGTCGCCCGGCTCATCGCCAGGATCGCCAACAGGAACTATGGGATGAAGAGAGGAAACCTTATGCGCCTGGTACAAGCTTTCGTGATGAGCCAGCTGGCGTGCGTGGTTCCCTTCATGAGACTCGGAGCGTCCAAAAAGTCCAAGGCGGAATGTATCGTGCGGAAGACACACAAGCGAGCCCTAGGGCTGCCGGACTCGACGCCAAACGAGAAGCCGGCGGCCCTGGAGGTACACAATACCATCGACAAGCTCATCGAGGCTCAAAGAATGTCCCAGGTGGAACGGCTCACGAGGAGCGCAACTAGCTGCAGGCACATCCTCATGAGAATCGGCCTCCGGTATGAGACACAGAGAGGCGAGAAAGTGGACGTTCCTCTATACGTCAGGGAGATGTTGCAAACTTCCCCCATCCCAAAGCACACGCATCCCGTGCACGTCGCTAAGAAAAGGAAGGCGAGGGCCAAAGCCCTGGGAAGAATGCTAAAAGAAGAGGAGGGAGTCGCGTATGTCAACGCAGCCGAGTAGAAGGAAAGAGGAGCCATGGCAGCGCCGATGGTGAACGGTGACGGACACCTCGTCGCGAGCTGCAGCGTGAAGACCGACGACCCGGACACGGCGGAAGAGGTGGCGGTGGCACTGGCGCTAAGCACGCCCGGCGTCAGGACAGTCGTGTGCGACGCGCAGAGCGCTGTTCGCAACTTCGCCAAAGGAAGAGTGTCGCCGAAGACTTTGCGCGTCCTCAGGGGTGTGACGTGCTTCGGTTAGAGAGGAAGAGTGAGACTTGTCTGGACACCGGCAAACGCACCGCTTCCTGGCAATGAGGAGGCTCACGACGCGGCCTAGGACATACCGTCCGGGACAGCACAACGTCTAGAACCCCCCTTGCGTCGTCCGGGAGAGACAGGCTGGTGACATTCAGAGATATTCTCGACCGCTACGCGAACGGGATGGCAAGGTTTCTCCCTGCACACCCCTCGCTGAACAGGAGAGAGTCCACGGTGTGGAGACGTCTGCAAACGAACACTTATCCGTGTCCGGCTTTACTAAAACGGTGGTACCCGTACAGATGCACGGGCGCGTGCAAACTATGTGGGCAGAGAGTGAATTTGATATTCATGGTGTGGGAGTGTAGTAGGATAGACAAGGGCATGTGCGCGAATAAATTACTGACGCAGCTCAGAGATGAAGAGAGCTGGGAGAACACACTGCTCAGCTCGGACCTCGGGTCCAAGAAGACTTACTCCGACTGGCCGAAGACGCCGCCGGGGTCGAGGGGATCCTTTCCGTCGTCTGATGGGGGAGGGGGGGGGGGGGGGGGCTGGAAGGGGACCCTTAGTGGGCTCCTCACCACATCCTAATCCCTTTTTTGGGCACCAAGAAAGTTGTACTGACTGATTGACTGACTGAGCGAACCTTCCCACAAATTTTGCGGAAGCTTCCACAAGGTTCGGGCACCTTCATAGTAAATCCTAGAGCTATACGTGAAGAAACCAATTTATGCGGTTCCTTCAAACAGCCATCGATTTCTTTGATCCCCTTGGTAGTATACGTATTTCATCCTCTGCTCATATACGTACATGTACAAAATAAAGTTTGTTTTCTTTCCAAAATATCATATCAGTGTGCGCTAAATATTTGAAATTATTAGAAAACTAAAATTCCACGGCGCGCGAAAAAACAAGCCCGGTATGTAAAATATTCAAGAGAAAGACACCTTTTATAGTTTGTACACGTTTTCTGTTTAGGTTGTTTAAACGCTCGTACAGTTGCAAAAGAGAGTTATTTTCTTGTACTAATATAAATCTTGCAGAATATAAATACCATCACCTTTGGACCTTGGCGCACCTCGAACAAGCCTTAAGTTATTTTAAAAGTTATAATTTCTTGGATACGGGTCTTCACTTTACAAAGCTGCTCTGGAACTTAGGTTCTCGCTCAAAATATTGCGTGGTTAACCGTTGTTTAGGGAGCAAAAAAGAAGTACTCTAACTTGAAGCCTTACTCTTGTGCAACTTTAGTAGACTTACCTCTATGTTCTACAACCTAAATACCACATTTTATTTTTGTTATTCTCTTTTGAAGAGACAAACTGCATGCGCGTTTTTCTAAAGGAATGTAAACGCGCACTGCAAGAGTAGACTGTTGAATCCCTGCTTGAATCTACCAGAGGTCACGTCGACAGCAGCTTTAGTTGGATCTGTGCCGTGCAATATGATAACTGTATGAGTCGGTCAAATAAAAAGTTGTAAGTAAGGAAGGAAACGTATGCTAATAAATATAGTCATTATTTCTTATGTCAGACAAATAATTCAATTTTAGTTTTGTAGTGTTTAGCTTCTAGCACCTTTGTGCAGAAGCTAGAAGCTAGATTTCAGATTTTAGAGTTTTAAAAATATGTTGATTTGTGATAATAATGTAAAATTTCTTCCGAAAGCAGAGGATGTACCGAATATTGACAATTGCATGTATAATATACCTAAAAAAATGAACTCGCGAGCATTAATTTTTTTGCTTCAATTTCAATGCCAACATAACTGTAAGTATAAAAGTTTGCTGAAACTTGAGACAGCACATCGCAGAAAGCTTCAAACTATTTGAGTTGTAATAAGTAAAATACTAATGTAAGTTTCCTATAAGAAATATTAGCCGATACGCAAGAAATATATATTAGTATTATCTTAGCTAACACTCCCCAGAATGCTGAAACAAGACAATTCCGTAGAAACAACCTCGTAAATATCGATATATTTCTGTTGTAGAATTTATTGTATTGATTGCGTACGACATCATAGACAATATTGATTACGTCAACCTCACCGAGATCTTTTAAGCGCGACACAAGGCCTTCAGCTCGAAGAAACGCCGGACCTTCTTCGACTCCTCGTTTTTCCTGTGAATGGATAAAAAAATTATTTGGTGCGTGAAAACGCCTCTATATAATTTTAACTACAGCCGAGTAAATTGGATGTCTATATATACCTACATATTTACCTTGTTCGTCCAGAATCGTTCCTTGATCCATAGTCTACTAAACTTTTTTGCAAAAATATTATCACGATATAAAAACCATTATATACGTGCACGGAGTCTGGATTTTTTTTATATATTTAGTAATGAGCTAATAAACCTGAGTGGTCGTTGTTTTACTCTGCCTGGTCTTGCTATGATGCACAGTGCTCCGCCTGTTTATTGATCAGGTTGAAATGAATTATTATACTGAAGTAATGAAACTATATTTTGCTCCGTCGAAATAAATGCAGGTTAAACATCTTCTCTACAAACTGGAAGCGAGTATAAAAGAGACAAAAAAAACGCATAAGGTGAACATAAAATTGAAGCCTAATTTTATTCTGATGATGACTAGAGAGCGTAAACATAACGTCCATTTGTTTGGTCTCTTGTTCTTTATAAATATTTTGCCTGAAGTTTGGAAGCATTAAACTATTCTTGAAACAATTAGCCTGTATAGAATCTTATGAGTGAACGCGGAGGACTTTTACGGATTATACTTTATGATACCATCGTTAGCTATCTAGTTGTTTGCGTAGGAACGCTCGTGTGAAGCCCTCGATCTTCCCAGTCATCAATGTAAACTAAAGTTAGTTCAAAAAAAAAAAAATACAAGCGACACCCATCCAGGCGGTAGTTGTTTTTATCACGGGTTTTGTGGAAGGCAAGGACGCTGTAGGACAAAATTCGTTTTCTAAAACACCGACATCCTCAAACATTTTCAAATTAGATTTCATGAAGGCTTTGAATGTTTTTTAAGCCTAACTAGCACCGTTCTACGGGCAAAATGCATTGTTTATTCCCGTAATTTAGGACCTTGAATGCACAAGACAACCAATGTAAAATCAAACATAATTGTATTCGGCCAGAGTCCGGGTATTTTGAACGTAATTTCCAAAATAGTGCAAGACTTCACTGCCTGGCTATTCATTTGTCACTTGTTTTTTGGCGCCTCAGTTCCAATTTAAAGACCAGAATTAGGCTTCATTTTTGGTTGATCCGGGTTAATATCGCATCCTGGGGCTTAAATAGCCAAACTAGAGCTAGAGCTAAGCTTCGATGCGCGGTTGCTCAGTCATCATCTGAATCTTCGGCCACGATTCACGAGCAAATGAAAGCGTAAAACGTTTTGGCTAGCTGTTCGGTTTTTATGAGTCTTCATGGGCTTATGTCTGGCACTTCGGTAATTTTGTGGTGAGTCTTAAAGCGATATTTAATATTTTTCTGGTGAGCAAGGGCAACAAGAAGTATCCCTCTGGAACCGGAGGGTATACTCTCGCTATGAAAGTGATAATGATATGAATCGTGAATACTACATATTGCATTTGGAGGGTGCAGAATTTACTAAAATTGAAGATGTGTTTTGGGACTCTTAATACTGGGGATAAGTTAGAAATCCCGTGGCTACTAAAACTATAGAGACATTGGTAAATAATTGTCCAATTTATTTGAAATATTTATTAACTCACTGAATTTTGTTTGCTGTTGTGTGGGCGTGGTGCAGTTAAAGTAATCACATTCCAGTCCCTTTTAATTAAGCCTCGACATAAACGTTTGATTTAAAAAATTAAAGCCGTTTACAGCTCCCTGTAACACCGAATTAGAGCGCAGCTCTTGAGGAGAAGGAGGGAAGGGTACTGGGGGGTCAGGTGACCCCGGGTGGCGGGGGGGGTTACGTGACCTTGGGGGGGGGGGGGGGGTCACGTGACATTGTGGGAGTAACGTGACCTTGGGGTGTCACGTGACGATGCCGATGAAGCCATCAGTGACGTCACTGATGACGTCATCAGTGACGGTGACGATGGAGATACCGTTGACGTCATCAGTGACGTCACTGTCATCAGTGATGATGACGATGACGATGCGGATGCCGGTGATGTCATCAGTCACGTCACTGATGACGTCATCAGTGATGATGACAATGACGATGCGGATGCCAGTGACGTCTTCAGTGACGTCACTGATGATGTCATCAGTGATGATGACGGTGACGATGCCGATTCCGGTGACGTCATCAGTGACGTCACTGATGACGTCATCAGTGGCGATGACGTCAACGGGGGGCCACGTGAACTCGGGGGGGGTATCCCCAGGTCACGTGACCCCGGGGGGGGGGTCACGTGAGTTGGGTTACCATCGTAACTCTCGTGAGGGTAACCCTAGTAACCTTTCTGAGGGAAAATCTCGTGACCCTCATGAGGGTTACACTCATGACCCTCGTGAGGGTAACTCTCATAACGCTCGTGACCCTCGTGAGGGTAACCCTCGTGACCCTCGTGAGGGTAACCTTTTTCAGGGTAACTAACCCTCGTAGCCCTCGTGATGCTCGTGAGAGTAACCCTCGTGAGAGTAACCCTCGTAACCCTCACGAGGGTTACGAGGGTTACTCGCGGTTACACCGACGCCGACGGCGACGGCGATGCCGCTCAAGCCGGGAGTGGGCGTCTGAGAGATGCGCTCTAAAAAAGAAATGTAGTGCTCACGACTGGGTCCGAAATGCCATATTTGTGCAAGGATTTTAAGCCGTTCCCACCACGTGTACACGTTGTTTGCTATGGACGCACACAGAGGGCATACGATAGCGTGAGCCACGCGGTTGTTCCTTACATTTTTCCGTGGCTTCATCCACCTGACAAGATTTGCTCGTTCGTCAGCTCCTTTCTTCAACATCGCTCCTTTTCTGTGCACCTAGGTAGGTCAAGCTTTGGACACTTTACGCGGGAGCGGTGGCTGCCACAAGACGCTTTCTTTGCGCCGCTGCTTTTAGAGCGCAGCTCTTAGGGGCCCGTTTCCAGCCTGAGCGGCGTCGGCGTCGGCGTAACCGGGGGGGGGGGGGGGGTCACGTGACCCCCCTCCCCGAGGTCACGCGACCCCCCCCCCCCCCGAGGTCACGTGATCCCCCAGGTCACGTGACCCCTCCCCCCGAGATCACGTGACCCCCCCGGGGTCACGTGACTACCCCCAGGCGGCGTGACCCCCCTCAGTACCCTTCCCTACTCCTCCTCAAGAGCTGCGCTCCAATTCGGCGTTACAGGGATTTGTATTTAATGTAGCACTTCCACCATTGGCTTGGGACCACTAGGATATCTCAGATGTCTACTTTCTGACATAAGCGGATAAGGTGGCAGTGTGGACCACTCACTTCTTTGGAACATCAAACACGGGGCCTGCAGGTGGCGATGCATGCTACTATAACTTGGTGTAATTCGGTGAAACTCATTCCTCATCCCAATACCCTGCCTAGCTCAGTTACTAACAGTTGCAGCCGAACCGCCATAATCCTTTCAAACTAACCCTCGCCAGTTAACTCCTGACGGAGGTGTCTACACTCCACGTGCTCGGTGTGGACTTGACTTCCCCTGTCTCAGCGTCGCCCTGGTTTCCATCTATTCACAATTCAGCTTTCAGCATGCTTCACCTGTTTCGTCGTATCTGCCAACGATCAGGGGAAGCCCATCGCCGCTTTGCCCGGATGTTGGTTCGCTCGGTATTCCAGCCTCGCCTTGTTTACCAGGCCCAGGTTCAACACATCGCCAAAGCCGAACCGGTCCAATTAAGTACCTAAATCGGGAAGCCATGCGGGCCATTACGGGCCTTCCTGGCTAACACCAATAATTTTACGTCAGGTTGAAGTGCACTTGAACACATTACACGAATTGATTCATCAACGACGTAACGCCCGGGCCTTGAAGTTTGATGTAATTCCAGCGGTGACCGCCTAGGAACATTACATGAATCTGTCTATACCATTATTGAACTCTCCCAATTCACAATTACTCCCTTGGCGCCACTGTCAAATGACTGACAACAAGCCTACACACTAAACATTGTAACACCCATAATCGTGTAAAAAGGGTGTAAGAAGGGTGTAGGTTCGGAAAAACACCCTTTTTACACGCTCTTTACACGGTTTCTGAATATCGGTGGGTGTAAAAAGGGTGGGCTGACGTTTTACACCCTTTACACGCCCTCTTTACGCCCCACTTGCAGCGATGGTGTCTGAAATCGTGTAAAAAAGCTGTATAGGCGAATTTTACGCCCTTCATCCACACGGTGTGAAAGGGGCGTAATGGTGATGCTGTCAAATACACCCATGATTTTATAGCCGTTCATATTGAATTGCATTGAATTGGTTTTTATTTAGGCACTAGGTCAAGGGTAACAGGACAAAAGGCAGATTATCTCTGCCTGACGTGGTACTATCACCCGTTTACAGTGCAAGCAATATTTATTGCTTTATTACAGTACAAAGCAATATTTATTGCTTTGGTGATACTGTCGTTGATGTTCGGCGGTACAAACATACAAACATCGAGTATAATTAATCGCCACACGGAGTCGCGTATGATTAGGAAGTGCTAGAGAATAGTTTTTGCAACTCCTATTGAACTCTTCGTTCGACACGAGCCTAAAATTACGTTTCGCGCGTGCATCAGATTTATCGGTTCAACCTTGATTATAAAAAAAAAAAATCATATCCGCTCGCAAAAAAAAAAAAAGAATGAAGACGTGTAAATATACAACCTAGGCAGCACACACTATTGCGCTGTTATGGTATTTAATCGGAAAGATTGTGTCGATATTATTTTGGTCTAGCCATGCCGGCGAGGTATTTCTATTTCTTGACTGCCTAAAATCGGACGTTAAAAAAACAATACAAAGCAAGGTTAACCGAAATAGAATCTGCTTACTTTTAACCTGAGAAAGACCTTTTAAGCTGAAGACTTGAACAAACTGTGGCGCCCTCATTTTGGATATTAAAAACTCACCTGACTGGGTTTCGCACCTTCACTGATACTTTATTTTGGAGTGTAGCTCAGAAGAAACAATGTCGCAAGACGTTCGAATGTGCCGGATTAATGACACCCCCAGGGACGCGACTCTTATCTCTGCGTAATGACACCAAAATATCTAGCTTTCCGACGCTTTTTTTTTCGGTTTTTCTTTGGTGCACGTGAAACCGCGTTTTCGGCGGCGTTAAAAATAGTTTTTCGTATTTATCTTGTGATCTCGCGGTCCGCACCAGATAATGCGCGTCTACAGGAGTGGCAGTTTGAGACGCTCAAGGTTGTACTACGCAAAGCAAGCCCTGGCGAGTCCGATTTCGCGGCCTTCCCTGGGCAGGGCAGGTGGCAATACAAAGCAGCGGAGGAAGATTAGCGGCTTTGTCCAACCCCTTTGACCTCGTCTTCTGATAAGCCTCGAAACCTTCTTTTGTGTCTTCGTGTTGCTGTGAGCGAGTGCGAAGGCCCCTTCTAGCAAATCAGAGGGTTGGCGCAAAACACGTGACCGCTCTCCGTAGGACAAGGACGCTTGGACGAAAATTTGTCATGTGATTCGTTCTGACGCGCTGATGGGCTACTGGGGCCGTAGTCTTTGCAGTATGCCAAGTTATGGCGAGTTGTACGGGCCACGAAGGTCCGGTTTACAAAAAGGGGGGCGCCCGTCAGTGTATTCCTGTTTTTCGTGCGTTTGAGTCGCGGCCGTGATTTTTCGTCGTGAACGGCCGGAATACATCCATGCCAACTTTTCGGAATTGGTCATTTATTTCGTCGGAGTCCATGGAATTATTGTGCTGTATTTGTTGGACGCGTTTCGACAAAGAGCTGCTCCTCGGCGGCCGCGAGACTTCCGTTGAATGTGATCGACCGCCTTCAACCTCGGCATTGTGTTTGCGTTGTTTTGTGCTGCCCGAATCGGATTACGCATCTATCACGACCGAGAGGTGCTCATCGGCGACCGCGAAACTTTCGCTGAATATGAGCGACCGCCTTCATCCTCGACATTGTGTTTGTGGACAGATCTGTGCTGCCCGAATCGGATTATGCATCTATCACGGATTACATGAGATCGCTGTTTCATTTGTAAGTACTCTGCAAGCATGCTTCTGATAGTAGTCCAAGGGAGCTATGTTCGACAAATATTTCATTTTTCCTAAAAAGAAACGGAAGTGACGGAAGCGACGATATCGCGTTTGATTTGTTGGAAGGTCAAATGGCGAAAATAGGTAACTTTCGTCATTTGAACCTCTAACCAATCAAACGCGATATCGTCACTTCCGTCACTTCCGTTTATTTTTAGCAGTAACGAAACATTTGTCGAGCATAAGCTCCCTGCTTTCGTTTCAATAGACCATTTTACGGTTTACAAACATGAACTGCCGCTTACGTCTATAGCAACTCCCGGTCGTACCGTCTTTGCAAGCCTGTCAGTTTTGTCCACGTCCCCAGTGCAAGGAAGCATAAACGTCACAAGAAAGGTACAGTTGGAGATTCAACTAGGGCCTTCGGTTGTACAATTTGAAGGGGTTATGAAACAATATTCGGTTGAAATATTTGTGACCTTACACGCACGGACCGCCGCTGGTTTAGAAGCGTCTCGGTCGTGGTGGAATTGTGAGGATAAAAGAGAACTATTTCTTTCAGTCTTGCCTTCGCCAAGTTTGATGACGTGCGCGTGGACGTAGCTTTGCCCTTTGGCACGCTTGTAATTGCACGCACTTGCCAGCATAAGCTGAGACATGGCTGCGGCCAGATGACCTGCTTGCAATCGTCTATAGAGAATTTTGTAGAACCTGTTAGAACCTTGATTAAAAAATAAAAAGTGAACCAGACATTTGCTGTCATTTTCTCGTGCACTCTTTTGGGTTATTACGCCCTACTTTATGGGTGTTGGTAATCGCGCCTTTTTTGTTTCCCTTTCTGGCGGTGATACAAACAATTTAGAGGGCGTACTGCGCAGACATAACGCCCTAATAAAAAGGCGTACAGTGGAATCACACCCTAATTGAAAGGTGTTCGGAATAACGCCGTCCTTTAAGGATGTTAGGGAAAAACACCCTATTTTAGGGGCGTTAGGAATAACGCCCGTTCTTTAGGGCGTTCTGCTGCACCCAAGTGGGTGTTAGTTATAGGACAAGCCATTTACACCCACAAGGGTGTTACGATGTTTAGTGTGTAGATATTTTACTACGAAGTTATCTTTCTACGGGTTTCCGTATGTTTAGTCCTCCCTCATTAGTGTCCGAGGACTCTTACCTGGTAGCCTATATGGATGCTGAATTGAACGAATCATGGTTCCATGCAAGCCTCGTTTGGCTCTTCATCTCAACTGTGAATCAAACGTCCTCGTACCTCCCGGACACCCATGCACCCTCGGTGCTGACAAGTTCGTAGCCCTCCAGGATAGTTTGTATGCTTTATTTATTCTTATTTGTAGTCTTCACCCTTCGTGTGTTAATTTTTACACCGAATCAATGCAGGCTCTACACGCCGTCCATCGTGTTGTCCGCCCCTTCAATGAGGCGACGAAATTTTATCGGTTTGTGGACGAGTCTCCCTGCCCAGTCTGAGTCTGCTGGATTTATAGTTCTGGTGTTTCCGTTCACGCCGCGACAGACGCTCTCTGTCATCCTCAAATGGTAGTCTACCCGCTTCCTCTTCTCACTTTGCCGGCCACAAATAGTCTGGCCATTCACAAGGAGACTCTGCGGCGCAGCACACGATTTCTTATTCCTCTGTCTGATTTAAACCTCCTGGCGGTATTACCCAGCTAGCAGAAGATGGTCTCCGAAGAGTTCGTTTGAACGCAGTCATCACATCGGCCGTCTGCGCCAGATGGGTCACTCTATGACATCCACCGGCTGTTCCTTTTGCCTTAACGCAGTCCGGGAAGTGGACCTCAATTACCTCTTATGGACATGCTCGGGCATTCTATTCGCCCGTCGGCGCCATTTACGCCGGGTGGGCCTCCATTCTAACTGGCCGGCCGACTTCAAAAGTTGGAGACATGATTCACACCACCGTTCGATTCCTTCGGGACTTTTTCCAGAAAACGGGAAGGTACTTTTATCTTTGAATCTTTGGCGCATGGCAAACCGACGTAATTAAAAAAAAATTGAAACTAACCGGCGAAACACACCACTGACGTTGATATCTTTGCTATGCGCTTCCGTCGTTTCCACCAGACTATTTTCACACTTCGACACGGGGGTTGCGAAGTAGGCGGGGGGCAATCGAGTTCACGGACGCGTTTTTCAGGTTGGTTTAGGTTTTGGTTTGCTAATGTGACATTTCTCGCCCCCGAAGCACCCACTACATATTATTAATCAAAATTTCTTTTCCAAGGTAGAGTATAGTGACGTCGAGGGTAAATTTTATAACTTGAATATGCGGAAAAATTGTAAATCCTTGAAAAGTGAATCATCGAAAATCTTTCTTTTCTGGTGGCCTCCAAGATTCCAAACTTAATTCCAGTATAAGCTAACGTGAACGCAAGTGTAGTGTCTTTAGCGTAACATGAATCACGCTTACGCAAATAGCGCAATATGGGAGGAAGTATGTTTAATAATTCATTACGCACTAGCGTCACGCGAGTCTTGGCAACACAACATATTTTCTAAAGTAAGAAGCGCCCTCTGAGAGCGGTCTGCCATCTAGAAGTGTAGTGCAGCCGAAAATGCATCATCCCGTCAAAGAAAATTGGCATGGTGTCTTTGTATCAGGGTTTAGTATGTTTTATATTCATACTACGGGTGCTTAAAAGATCGTCGGAAACGACGGCATGCTGTAAAAGTAAGTGCTGACAATGTTTGTCATGCCCTTCGATAATTACAACAACGGGAAACAAGGGAAGGGGACATGGCATACACTTGCGCAGCGGCTTACTGGAACAAGGTCCTCTCAATAAAATGTAAACAAAACTTCTATATAATGCAATTTCAATTGCGTAGAAAATGCTGAATGATTACGCGGGGCAAAGATGAAGTAACCAATGGCGGAAAATATTTATTTCAGCCTTTCCTTGACCCAGAACGACTTTGGGTGTAAAACTACGGCGTGGAAAATTTACCAGGGTAGTTACCTGGCCACAGCTAACAGGAATTCCAACGAGGCCTATTTCTTGTTTTGTCTTGTTAACATCCCACGTTCCCACGGTCGTTCCGGTAGTATCTTGTCCGTCAAGTGTCGCACGAAGAACGCTCGACTCACTAGAGTAAACAAAAGCAGAAAATAGCACCAAAAGACCTCATTTATTTCAAAGGTCATTTATCACTCTCTTATGCACACGACTAGGTATGCACTGAAGCATAACCTTAAGCAATCTGCATTGAAGAAATAAATGTTAGCAATCAATAACACCGAGTTCATTTTTGCGAAAGTAGCCAAGAATGGGCTGGCGAAGCGATACCTTTCTCCTCTGGTAATAACAGATTTTTAGAAAGCAAAGATATTTTGCTGCTTCATTGATATATTATAAAAATAGAGTGTTTCAGCGAAGAATTGAAATAATTATCAAAAATAGGATGTTCTAAGAAATACAGGGTGTCACAAAAAAAAATTTACACGGTCTTTTTTACCGCAAAAATAAACTAGGCATCGCCGGACGCTCATTCTCCCCCAGAAAGGTAGCGCTAGAGGTCACAACCGGATGCCAGAGTTTCAGCCCGATTTGACAATTTAACCAGAAGTTTTAACTGATTTTCTAAAAATTCAAATGGTTAAATGGCCGCCTACGAAATTTCCGAACACATGGGGCTCTATGACACCAGAAACCGAAAACGGGCAAAAATGGGCTCCATTTTCCCATTGAAATTTTCAAGAAATTACCTATGATTTTTTATTAAGATATCGAATCGGGGTGAAATTTTGGCATTTGGTTGTGACCTCTAGCTCTACCTTTGGGCGGAGAATGAGCGTTCGGCGATGCTTAGTTTATTTTTGCGGTAAAAAAGACCTTGAAAATTTTCTTTTGTGCCACCCCGTATAATATTTTTATATTGGAGTTCAAACTGCCAACCATGGTTGATATCTGTTAGAGCAAAACCATACTAGCTAGCTAAATAATTAAAGACTAGCTACAATGGAATTTTAAATTATTAGAAATAAACGTATGCTTCCATTTATAAACCTTTTGAGCGACCTTTAGAAAGCACTGAATCAACTCACTTTAGAATAATATAAGTTGGCTGCAGCATTTTATTTTGTTCCGAAAAAAAAAAAAAAAAGAGCACAGATGTGGGGGCGGTTCTAGGTTTTGTATCGTTATTCGTGCGCATCTTTGCGTCGGCTCTACTGCCGCCACTTCTGCCCAGACAGATTCACGAGAAAAATTCAACAGCGTTTTATGCAGTGCACACCCGTTTTATCAGCATAGTTCTAAGCTTCTTAATTTCAAGCAACTGAAATCGGTAACTAGGCAACCTCTGTGCACCGAAGGTACAAATATCCGAATCTTAGATCGCATTTGTATAAATTGCTGCTACTGAAAATCACTTTTTCCCTGACACAACTTATATTTCTACAGAGATTTCATATTTAGCTAATGATCCCCAAGCGAGGACTTTAAACTATGGCCACTGGTAAAGTTATTTCATTACGTGCCTTTTACGTTTCTATTTAGGAATGTATTATTGCTTCAAGTAATACATATGTGCGTGTTTCATGGGATCCGGTTGCTACAAAACAAATAAAGCAATGAGGAACAACATATGGAGTCTAATCAAGCAGGGAAAATGAAATACCGAGTTCATTCATCCAATATAAGGCGAATTGTTGTAAAGAACACTACCACGACCGGAAAAAAGAAAACAAATTACCTCTCTGATGAATCGAAAGATGTGCTCAGTGCAAAAATGACTAGGAACCTCACACTGGGCTGCAAACGCGATCTCATGTTGGCGTATCTGGAAGAGAAAATTCTAGGTTATCAGAACTCCTCTGCTAACAGCGATTGAATGTCGAAGCTGGATTCCTTCAATATTGTTGTCTGTACAAAAATAACGTTACAAAAGAGAAAAGGAAAAAGCCGCTTTCCGAGTTTATGAGCCCCACGTGCTGTAACGTATCGCACAGAACCTCGGATGCATCTGTTGCCAGGTGACTTGTGTTAGCAGGAAGGGAAGCAGCGACCCCCTTCCCGCCTCCTCCTCCCAACACCATTCGTCCTATGGTCGCAACGGACATAGCTCCGAGGTGGGCAACTAGCACGGCGTTAAGCCAATCTACAAGCAACTTGAAACCAAAATATCCTCCTAGTTGAAACGCATACATGACATTGACTTGGAGCGAAAGAATAAAAAAAAGAAAACGTTTACTGCGAAATTAAGCTTTTGCCGGCGTTTAAGGGGCCTGAAGAAGGTAAACACAACACTTTTTTGGGGGTATTAGCATAAACTTAAATAAAGAAGAAAATTACAGGTACGCAAGCGCCAATTTTTGCCGTGTGAGTGCCTTTTCTTGTCCTTGTTCTGTCTCAGCCATGCAATTTGTTTTTATAGAACACACTGCCAGGTATAACTTTCTTTGTAAATGCAATGACATTGGGATGCTACCAAGCAATGAGGTTCAGGAAGTTCGTCTGCCGAAGTTTAAAAGTAACCAATTTTGCCTTTTTTCTGGTGGCCCCACTTTTCCACATCACACCTTAATAAAAAAAACAGTTTTTTTGTCCTTCTTCGTTTACTAGAAAGCAACCAGTAAACTTTCGTATTGTTCCGCACACCAAGAGGGTATTCACCTATTTGAAATACTCCTGGGTTTTGAGACACCGGCAGGTCACGCACACACACACAAAAAAAATTATGCAATACAGTGCCGCGCGCACACACACTCACAAACGCGCAAACACAAGCTGGTATACGTAACCTTATCTCTAAGTACATAATATACGCACCAATATAAAACTGCTTTCAATATCCGCTGGTGCTTGTACGCAGAAAGATGGCTCGTACCCCTCGTTATCGCTGTTCTGGAGGAATATCAAACGATTTTTATTTCTACAGGCTGGTAACATACGGAAACGCCCTATAGTGAAGCAAGCGATTAACGTAAAGGTTTGGGGAGTTTTTGTTTGCTCTTCCGTATTACAAAGATTGTTTTGCAGTCAACGCGAAACTAGCAAGTCTTCGAATTCAAGAACTATGAAGAACACGCTGTTTTTCGTAGGAAATATACAAAAGAAATGGCTTGCGAACTAGAAGAGAAGGAAATCAAAGGAACAGTCGCAGGTAGCTTAATGACTCTGGTGACTACATTGGTATCTGATATCACTTTCCATTGTACTGGTCATTTAAGTTTAGTATGAATATTTCTGTTATTTTTCCCGACAAATAAATGACTCGGTGTTGAAAATCAATCCGTGTTTTGTAGCAATACTTCAGTAGTTCGAAGTAGACCTAAACCGAATCGGGTGAGTGTCAGCGATTATTTGCGCTCAACGACAAAGAGGCAACATATCATTATGTTTTATAATTTTTCGTGCATACGAAACTATTTTGAATAACATGCCTTTTCTAAACAAAATGCGTATGAGCAAGAGGCATGCTGTATAGCCGGACCTGAATAACAGATATTTTCAACAAATGTTTGTTTTTTAGCGAGATTTGACAAATGCATAGTTCTCTCGCTATTAACGCCTTCCTTCAAACCGATCACTCTAGTAGTTTAAGGGTATTTCCCTATTCAGAAAGCAATATGGCTAAACAACGCCGCCCAATCAAGAATATACATTGTAAACAAAATAAAGGCTACTCAGATAATATCTTCGATTTTTTTCGCGCAGTCTGGTTAGAAACAGCGTGTGCTTTTTGTAACTTAAACAAGCGACCCTTTTTATGACCGGAATTAGGAAGGATCCCAGTACAAAAGTGCTAAAAAGCCATCCCAGTGGCGGCTAAAACGTATCCCCGGTAAGGTATCTCTGGGGGGAGAAAATACTAAACACAATAGGAACATTTAGAGCCACTTTAAATAAGCTACCCAGCAGAGTACCGATACTCTATTCAACGACTCCATTGTCGGCGCCTCCCTTTTGTTCCCTAGGGCAGAATGGGCGCCATTGCAGAAAGTTACGGTCCAAAGTACAACATCCAGAACTTTATATATATTGTGAGGAAGCCAAGGGGACATCGTCTTGCTTTGTTCCGGACTTATTTTTAGCGTTACAAAAGAAAGTTTCCTGCGATTTCAGATAAAAACTGCTGATACTTGCAACAATAATTGTTGGCAGTAAGGAATGCAGACGTGTGGCTGCTCTGCGGCGTAGCCCATTTATACGCTCTACACGCTCGATAAGAGGAACAGCTAAATATCGGCTCTGGATTCCGGCATTAACGTTTTGAACCTTTTACGACGCAGAAGTATTCATATAGCAGAGAGGTCGTTGCCAGTCATTATCTGCCACGTGCATCGCAGGTTTCAACGGGAACGGGCCCTTCCCCAATGAGAGGCCATTATTTTTAAAGAGGCAAAATTTCAGCCAATCTGACTAACATTTTACTGCGGAAGGACGCCGTTGACAGAACGGCGGGTAAACAATCTGCGGGTGAACGAACCGGTGTACTTTCCAGCTTCCTTTGTTCAAGCTCGTGTTGCTCGCTGAAAAGCCACTATAAATTTCAGTTTAGTCAGAACGTAATTTTAGTGATAATAAAAGTTGATTACAACATAAAAAACTCAAGAAGGTAGATTCCATATAGAATATTGTTTAAAATATGGGTTTTCGTTTTAAGCGGAACACCCTTGGGAACAATTATAGCTGCGAAAAGCGGGCACTCGATCAATTGTAGTTGTAACACCTAATTGATTGAACAAAAATACTTGCACTGCAGTCACTCTCGGGTGGGTTAAATGAAAGAACTTAGGCACGTTATTATTGAACGAAAATTGGTTTAAATGTTTCCAAAGATCCGCTTGTTTTCTGGCGATATCTAATTACGCCATTTTTGTTTAAAAATCTTTGCTTTTAGACATGCGATAGCAGTTTTATTTTCACTGCATTAGCGAGATAGCAACACCAGGTCATAATTTTTAAAGTACGATGTCATGTTTATGCAGATATCTCATATGCTATCGAAGAAAGATATCTATTTTTGTGCGATGTATGTGTACACGCAGCCGTACATGTTTCTCAAGTATATTTCTAAACCATTACATTTTTTTTTTTAAAAACAGACGCACGGACAGGTAAACAGAATAACAGAGATATTTTAGTGACTAGCATAAAGCATGAAATGGTTTAGCATTTGTGAAAAGAAGTTCCTAATTTTGTCCGCATGGATAAAACATGTTGAGTTCCTTTCTCGAAAATTAGACGATAATATTTTAAAACAGCGAAACAAAAAGTCACGTTATCCTTTATTGTAATTACA